TCCTTTACCACCCCCACCACCCCCTTCTGCACCCCCACTGCCCGGAACGTCTTCACCCACAGTGGTTTTCAACTCAGGATTAGCAGGTAAGAGAACAGATTAAACCCAGGTACTTGTGTAAGAGATACTCATTTGTCTTATCTCCTGAGGGCTAAAGCCATTCTTTGAGGTCTCTTGCTATCACATGTATCTCTTGTAATATTAGGACACATCTCCTGATGTCACCAGTGAAGGTGATACTATCTCTCTCACCTTCCTCCATCCTTCTACTCTCCCCATGGAGAGAAAGGAAGAGAGATCAGCTGCCTTCTTAAGGATTAGTGCATTTTCATGGGTTCAACAAACACTTCTGAGACACTGTGGGCACAAAACTGAGTTCTTATGGGTGGGTTTTTTTTATATAATTAAATGTGTTTGTGATATCATCTGTAAAAAGGAAAATTGTTTTCTGATTAATTGCCTGATCAGCCTTCCAGGCATTTCTTTGCAATATTTGAGGGCATCAGAACTCACTGTAGTGGATTTAAGCTTCAAGGGGAAATGCTGCTAACAGCAAGATTTCCATGCTTTTAGATGCTACCAGATAATGAATACTATCCTCCTGCTAACTAGGAGATAGAATATAACTTCTTTATCTCACCTTCTACCCTTGAAATAAAGTTGGAGGTGAAAAATAGAGTGGGAAATGGAAGAGGGAGAAAGTTACTCTAATGCCTTCAAATATAAGTTCTAATTTTTGACATATGGAAATTAATTTTCACTTTTTCTAAAAACATTAGAAGCTGTTTTTCCATCACAGAGTGTTTCCTTGGCATTTGGAAACCATCCCTGTGGCACTGGGACATTCGGCTCCCTTGTCCACTTTAGACCCTTCATGAAGTTTCTGACTTTTAATGAAGAACTACTACTCTCAAAGCTTCCCTTTCCAAGGCTGCAGTAGTTCTCAGAGCCTTTGCCTGATGGCCAATATGCAGTCTCAGCTATAAAGCAGTTCCCAATCTCCATCCTTCCAAGTGCCTCGTCAGCAGTTCTACCAGCCACTCTTCAGGGCTTATCCACCCTAATGATCACTAAAGTCCTTTTGGATACCAGAAAGCTACCCACACCACACTTGTTCCACAACCAATCTGTAATGTTCACTTCTACTCTGACTTCCATAAAATTGTCAAAGAAACAAATATGATGCCTGTTCAGAAAAATGTTCACAGTAAATTAGTGACTTATTTCTACCCTTCAAGGTCTTTCCATCTGCCACTTTCTTCTAGAACTTTTATTGCTTCTGAAGGAGAAAGGTTGGAGGAGAGTCATCATGGAACTATTGGATTTTGGAATGTACAAGAACAATAACAACAAACAAAAAAACCTCATAACAAGCCCTAGGAATCCGTTCCATCAACAGGCTATTCTGAATGATTGAGTGTGAAAACCTATAACCATCACGTGCGCTGGGCTTACTGACTCACAGCCCATAGAGCACTCACCATGAGGTGTATCTGCTGTGGTGGCTCTCATTTGGTACTGCCAAAGTGAGAACAAAATGTAATGTGTGATACAGTGTCCACTTCCATTCACCTGAGCTCTCACATTAAAGCTTAGAACTGCCTTGGCAAAGTGAAAGAGTCAAGAGGCTGAGATGTTCAAGGCCAGGGCCATGTTCTGAGTGAATTTTGTCCTATCTGGTTGACTTTGTGCCTAGGCTCTGCCCACTTCTTAATTGTTAATATTTCTTGACTACTTTTGGCTCTCTTAATTTTAAGGTAGGGAGCTCTGTGCTCAGCTGATTGCCAGCTGTTACCTTAAGGGTTGCTGCAATTGGACATTGTCCTCTTTGTGCTTTCTGTAGTTTGGAGAACTGTATGTGGGATTGAAGAAACTCTTCTTTAATTCCTTAAGTAGTTAAGCAAACCTAAGATTTTCTGTTCTAGACTCTCATGAGTGTATGATAATTTGAGTTGAGGCAATTTCTACAAGGCCTTTAATCTCTCTTCAGTAATATCCTTAACTTGGCCATGATTACAATACTTAGTGATTATAGCCCATTTTGTGAAATGTTTTGCCCAGTATGTTCAGTAACTGTGTCTGTCTGAAACTAAGAAGCTAGATAGACTCAAGATTTCCCAGTGAAGTCCAGAGACAGAGCTGAGCTGATTTGCAAGGGCTCCTGGGAAGTCAGGAACCTGTGGTATCACCAGGCCTCTAGGCCTACAGGCAACAGTATGTCTAATCTCTTCAACAGGCAATAAGCAGGGGTGTTCTTAGTGGCGAGACAAGGGGACTAGAGGTAGTCCCCTAAGTTTACCTAGTTGGGATTTTCCTTTGCTTTTTTTTTTAAGAGAAAACATTACTAATGTGAAGTAAGCATTTGAAGTATAAGTCTTGCTTCCTCAAATCTGTGATAGATAGATGTGGCTCCCTTTTCAGGGTCGGGACATCTATAATCTATACTGCTGGCAAGTCTGTAACATTTGTTGTCTCTTAAGGAGAAAGTGCTTGAGTCTTCAAAATGGGAATGTGAGCTTCTGCTAATTATTTTATTTAGAAAAATTGTTCAAATCCTGTAGAATACCTAGCACAGTTCAATATAGCTATTTCTGACCACTGCAATGAATTTTTTTTTCTTTCCCTCTTCAAAAAAGGATTATTTGAAGAAAAAAAAATAAGTGCATCTTCAAGGCAGAGCAGAATGGGAATGAACTTTGGCTCTGTGCTGCCTTGTGGAATGTATCCAAGAAGCATGAAATTCTGTGCTAAAAGTGCATGAGCTGCTGAGCCCCTTGACTCTAACCATATCTAATTTTTTTTTTTTTTAAATTCTTTCTGCTTCCACAAAAGATGGGCCAATCAAGCTTTTCTGTAGGTTGCTCCTCACTGAGTGTATTGCATATTTATCATTTGTTGCTATTGGTCACACTGTGCCTTGACATCTTTCCACTCCATCTTGCTTTGGTTCATCATTGCATTTTGACTTTGTGTCTGCAGGCAGTCTTGGTGTTGGCTGACTGTCACTCCAGGTTTGCCCATATAGTTTAGTTAACACTGTAGAAGAGATTGTCTTCTTTAAGCAGACATCTTGGGTTTCATATGCTACGTTCTTTTTGCCCCAAGAAAAGGATTATTTTTTTTTTTTTGGCATAATTTTCATAGTTGGATGGATCGAAGGCCTCAAGTCTAGAAGGGTTTTACATGTATTCTGAGCAAAAGAAGGAAAAGTTCCTTCACAGAATAAAGAAGAGCTGCTGGGAAAAAAATCCTTTTTCCAGTCTCCTCCCTCTAATCTCTGGCTTTCTCTGTGGAACACCCACCCATCCATCTACCAACTCAACCAGAGCCAATTTCTTTAGCCTGAACACTGGGGACATGGTATATATTGTGGTCACCTCTAAGTCCCTTATTAGACCCCATATCTGAGTCAGTAAAAGCTTTCTGGAGAACTTTCTACTCTATTCTGATCTCAGGTTTATTCCTAGTCCTGCTAAAGCATTAAGAGAAGGATAGCTACAAATAGAATGTGAAGGTAGGAAATAAATGGTACCTACCTGTCACTCAGATTATGAAAAGATCTCTGCACAGCTTCTCCCCCCATGCCCCTCCACCACCTGCCCATTGCTGAAGTGCCAAATTAGAGGAAAGTTTGTTCATTTGCCCCATAGAGGCCATTGGTTTCCCTGGGGAGCACTGACAGAAAAGAAGTGAGGAAGGATCTGACTTTGGTGGACAGTAGAGATTAAGGTGGTGGTGGAAAGGCCTGGTTTGGCAAAAGCTGTGTTTCTGTGTTCCTGCATGCTTTTGTGTGGATTATCAGATGACATTCCTGCTATTTCCATGGCCTTTGTAACTCTGGAGGAATGAAAGGCAGCATCTTTTGTCCCAACTGGATGAAAGCACAGTTTTGTATCACATTTATTTCTGTTCTGCACTGAGGCGTTTGGAGCTCTCCTCCCTCCCTCACTAATGATGGCAGATAGTGGAACTCCCAAATAGTGTGGTAGGCTTTCTAGGATAGACTTGTGAAGAAAAAAAAAAAAAAAAATATATATATATATAGCTGAATAGTTTAAGAAGACTTCTGTATGATGTGTAATTAATGAGAAGATTTTTTTAATGGATTTCCTTTTTAGCTCATTTCCCCAAAGCAAGAGGAGATAGCATGCCTTTTGGCTCTGAAAAGATCCCTTTTTCTCTATTGAGAGGTTTTCTGTATTTTAATGTGTTCCTTGATGCCTTCTAGTTTCACATAGCTGAGACCTGAGGAGAACTGAGTCTTCAAAAAAGAGGGAAAAAGGGACTGTGGCCATTCCTGAGGGAAAAAAAAAATCTAATGTCTTGTTTCTAAGTAATACCTCTTTCTGTTGTCGTAAACATTTTCTCATTTTGGCCATTCGTGGCCCTTCATTGGCTTGAAATAACTCAGCAGCAAATATAAATCCCCATTATCAAAGTCATACTTCAGTAAAGTGTTGCTCTAAGGAGCTCTGGTGGTATAGTACCTAAGGTATTTGACTACTAAACAGAAAATTGGAGGTTCAAACCCACTAGGCACTCCATGCAAGGGAGATGGGCCAATCTACTTCCATAAAGATTTACCACCTCTGGAACCCATTGCTATGAGTCAGAATGGACTCGATGGCAGTAGGGTTTTTTTTTTTTTTTTTTTTTAAGGTATTGCTCTAGCTGAAAGTCTGCTTTCTTGATTTTACTTTCCTGATGGTTGAGGCAGCCACTGTCCATAGTCTCTCATCATCTTTTCAGGTTTGTTTGGAAATACGTACTCAAGAACCAAGAATTTAGGATGTTGAAATTCAACTTAGACTCATCAATGTCAAACAAAGGCACAGAGTGTTTACCCTATCTGCCATCCAATAACATTAATAATAGTCTTTGTTCTCAGATGGCTTATTTGTCCTAAGCATTGTCCCAATGTTATGGCTGTACTGTAGAGATCCAAATTTCTGCATTTTTAAAAAATGAACCCTTGGCCCATTAGACAGTTTTAACACTACATTGTTGCCAGCCAACCACATAAATGACCTCAGATCCCTCTGACAAAGGCCATGCATGATGTTTTCCTTATTTAAAAGTATTTAGGTGTTTCTTGCCAACCTTCCTCCAATGTTAAAGTGTCATCTGCATGGACTGTTGTCTGATTGTTCCAGAGGCCATGGGGTGGTAGTGGGATCTTAACTGCATTCTCTCTGACATCTTTAGCTGTGAAAATTAAGAAGCCGATCAAGACAAAGTTCAGAATGCCGGTTTTCAACTGGGTTGCTCTGAAGCCCAATCAGATCAACGGCACAGTTTTCAATGAAATTGATGATGAGCGCATTCTGGAGGTATCTTTCTTATTGATTAGAAACATGGGGGCATCTCTGTCTGAAAAAGCCAGTATGGGTGCTGTCATAACCTGAAGTTTTGGTGATGCAGTGCTAGTGCTTCAAGTACCTTGATGTAAAGAAGAAGACATTTCATAATACCAGAGAATAAAGCATTGTTTTGTAACATGGTTCTAAAACTCTCTTTAAAAAGTTATTTAAAAATGAAATCATTTTGAGCATCAGTGTATGCTGCCACAAAAATATGTATTTGACATAGTCCCTATCCTTACTTTATAATAGGGCATAAAAACCCTTTATTGAACTATACACAAATAAGAACTCCACAGTCATACTACCTACCTCCTTTGGATGGATAGTTTTAGTCTGTTGTGGCCATCTCTGCAAGCTAACCATTGCAAGGCAATTGCATTATCTACTTGAGACATTTCCCTCTATTTATGTACCATGGTTCTCACTCTAACAAAAATAGGAAAAATTGAGCAAGCCATGGCAAAGACAAATATTAAATAGGAAAAAACGAAGTCTCTGATGCTTAGGAAGCAGTCTAACTGGTGACTTTCTGAGTTAATTTTTTTAAGTAGGATGTAATTTGCCAATTTAATTTCTCCTCCAGGATTTAAATGTTGATGAGTTTGAGGAAATATTCAAGACAAAAGCCCAAGGTCCTGCCATTGATCTTTCTTCAAGTAAACAGAAGATAGCGCAGAAAGGATCAAGCAAAGTGACATTACTAGAAGCAAATAGGGCCAAAAACCTTGCCATCACTTTAAGGAAAGCTGGAAAGACTGCCGACGAGATATGTAAAGCTATTCATGTGTAAGTTCAAGGCATTGTGGAAAATTTATATACAGGTAACTTTAGGATGAAAATGAAAATAAGAAAGTGATGAATTGATAAGTAACAGAAATAATTCAATAGTGGGGCAAGATCTAAGATAAAAGATTGAGCAATTCTTGATATCCACACACTGGAGGTTCCCTGTATTTATATGTGCTACTTCATGGTTGAATAACATGCTAACACTAAAGAGGTGGGCCAGATATTACCTAGGGAATATTCTATTAGAATGAGTAATTAATTGCTTTTGAAAAATAACATCTGGATTGTTACATCATTTATTATCATGGTCTGCCCTCTTATATAGGCATACAGCAATGCTTACATAAAGAGAAAGCTGAACTGAGTATTGCAGATGTTAGGATAGGGGAGAAATATCAACTTTCTCTGGAGTGTCTGAATTCAGTCCAAATTTGTAGAATACAAATTTGATGGCATTTGAGGAATGCCATAATTCATTGCCAAATGCAAATATGATACAGGTGTATATTTTAATTCCTAACAATAGGAATGTGATTTCTGTTGCTCTTTGTGTTTTCAAGACATTTTAAACAAAGCTCAGTTCGTTATTCTTGAACTGTGTAGAAGATGTTAGTTTTATTTACTTCTCTCTTATTATCCTACTCTTCTTGTGGCCATGGTGACTTAAAAAAATGATAAGGATGTTATTAAATGTTTCCAGAACTAAGTCTTCATAAATTGGTATTTCATAAATTTGATCAGAGACTCTCAGAACAATAAATGACCCTAAAAAATAATTTGCTCCAAATTTGGGCTATAACCTCATAACCACTGCCTCCTATATTCTTCCTAATTTCTGATGTGCATTCTGGTTTTTGATCTTGATACACCTTGTTTGTTGTAATCCTTAAATGTTACTATTATTTGGCTAAAAAGGGGTTGTTCAGAGAATAAAACAGAGGTTGTAGCACATACTTTGTTCAAACTGAGTATAGATCCACAAAGATGTGTTTCTTCAAGTGATATATGCATTTAAGCCAAACCATCCCTACAGTACAGGCATTTTGATCCATTTCTTTTTTTCTAAAGAAGAAAAGAATATCCCAGTCTCTTGGTTCAATTGAAATCTTTTATGCAATACACCAGATTTTTGTCATTCTGTGTATAATCTTAATCTCCTCATTTAGCAGTACTTCACATTGCCTAGAAAACCATCTCCATGAACCACCTAACCGTTAAATGCTTCAGCTTTCATTCTACTTTGTCTACTGTGATTTACTGTTGATATCTAGAGGCTTAGAACTTACTACATCAATAACCTAAAAACAGAATGACAGCCTACAGTAAGGTCCAGGTTTTCAGGAAGGACCAGTTAAGGTACTTGATTCATAGTCTGGAACCAGTGCCAGGGTGGGTCTTCACAGTATTACTCTTGATCTCAGCAATGTGGTAGTTGATAAACTGGGCCAGACCAAGGTGTGTTTAAAGGGTAGGAGGTTTTCTTTCTGACATCTCCCTGTCTCCCTGTCTTCAGATTTGACTTGAAGACATTACCTGTAGACTTTGTAGAATGTTTGATGAGGTTCTTGCCAACCGAGAATGAGGTGAAAGTGCTTCGGCTCTATGAGCGAGAAAGGAAGCCCCTGGAGAACTTGTCAGATGAAGACCGGTTCATGATGCAGTTCAGTAAAATTGAGAGGCTCATGCAGAAGATGACCATCATGGCCTTCATTGGGAACTTTGCTGAAAGCATCCAGATGCTAACTCCTGTGAGTGGACCAACTCTGGTGGGGAAGGGGTCCAAAGAGACAGAATTAATATTAGTGTTTATTTTCCCTTTAAGTCTCTCCCAAAGTTGTACTCCTTGTGATAGGCTCTAAAGACTCCTTCCCAGAACTTTCTAGATTGTATTTTTATTTCAGCCTTCTTTTTACTTTGTGTATGCAAAGTAAATTTGAAAAATCACATAAAGTTTGAAAAATGGTGAATTTTCATATTCTGTATTGCTGTTCTCCTTAGAGAATGCCATTTTTGGGGTCTACAGATAGACGTCCTCTGGATTTCAAAGGGCACTTCAATTCCGAGGACAGAAAACCATTTTTTCTCAAACTTGGTCCCCTCCTGTGAAGATACTAATCCTCTAACTGGGTTGGCAAGACTGAAAATGTAACTTCCATCTTTAAAAATTGCTCTATATCTTTAGTGAACAGGCTTATAACTTTCATTGGAAGCATTAAATTAATCACAGGAGCCTTCTTCCTTTGAAGCTTATTGTATTGGACTGTGATGATAAGGAAATGATAGTCAACCATCTCTTTCTTGTATTTTGTGAATTTGGTAGTTCTTCCCCAGTTCTGTTTCTAAATAAACCTATTAGTTGCTGATTAAAGTAGCATGTCTGTTGAAAAACATGTTCTGAGAACTTCTGAAGGATGATTATAAATATCCCTTTTGCTTTCTTCCCCCATTTATGGACAGTTCTGTTGATGCACAAATATAACATATTAGTTTATATCTATTTATTTATATCTTTATGAAAATATAAATTTTATGCATTTCATGACTAGAGGTGGTAGGCAAGGAATTGAGTTCTACAGAAGATGCTGTTGACTCTTAACTCCAATCTCATTGGTTACAGGTTTTGTGATAAACAGGTTCTTACATTACTTATTACTGTTAATAGTTTTAGAGATGAGCTTGTAGGTTACTTTAGATCTCGTGAGAAGACTTAAATTTGTTATGCTTAGGAAAAATAAAATCTTGGCCTTAGGACCTTAAGGTCTAAATGCAGGGCCTATTTGTCTGTGTTAATTTTTAGTTTCCAATTTGAGTTTCCAGTTTTTAACATGTGTTTTTTCCCCCTCCTTCCTTCCTTTGATTGGAATCTAGCAACTGCATGCAATTATAGCAGCATCTGTCTCTATAAAGTCATCCCAAAAACTCAAGAAAATTCTGGAGGCAAGTGAAATTTTCCTCATATACATGTATAGAAGAGCTGGATTGTCAGCTGCAGCCCTCTGCCTGGGATGCTAGACTGATGGGCTTCTCTTTCCTCTCTTTGCTTGTAGATCATCTTGGCCCTTGGAAACTATATGAATAGCAGTAAACGAGGAGCAGTTTATGGATTTAAACTTCAGAGTTTAGACCTGGTGAGTGAACTGAAAGAAATAAAGGAATTATGAGAAGGAGAGAGGAAACAGCTGGCAGAGATTAAGTCCTGGAGTGGAGGGAAACTGCTCTTGGAAGTTGGGCTGAGGTGTCTTGATGAAGATTCTTTGCTAGTGAGTGGGAGGATAAATTGGTACAGATTTTCTGGAACACTGTTTGATAGTATTGGCAGTAGCACTTAGAGCCTTAAAAGTACTCATACTCTAACTCAGTTTTTCCATTTTGGGTAATCTTTCCTCAGGAGTCTTAATTTTGTATATTGTATTTTATTTATAATTGCACATAGTCAACAATCTGGAAGTCTAATATTTTGGGAAATGATTAAATATGTTATAATAGTACATACAATGGCCTCTTTTTCAACTATTAACATATTTGTGAAGAATTTTTAAGGAAATGGGTAAATTTGTGTTTAGAAAAGTAGGGTATAAATTATATGTAAAATTTGATTACAACTAAGTAAAATATACACAGAAAAAAGACTGAATGGAAATAGATTAAAATAGTGACAGTTAGCAGGTTGCTCTATTGGTGTAGTGTCTAAGACATTTGACTGTTAAACAGAAGACTGGCAGTTCAAACCCACCAGCCACTCCTCAGAAGGAAGACTGGGCTATCTACTTCCATAGAGAGACCACCTCAGAAGCCCAAGGAGGGGTTGCTGTGAGTCAGAACTGACTCGACGGCAGTGAGTTTATTTATTTATTTTTTAAAACAGGTTGGATGGGATTATAGACCATTTTCCCTGCTTTATGTTTTTCTAGATTATTATTTTTGATGATGAAAGGAAGTACTTTGCTTTTCAGAGTCAAAGTCTTCAGTGCAACAGTCTCCCCCTAGCTTTGTGGTACTACTGTAACTTCCACATGAGAAAGTTGAGTAGTAGGTTGAGTTCACAAGCAAAGAGCCCTGCTTATTTCATGGGGAATGCTCAGGCCCCCTGTCCATTGACCATACCAGTTATAGCAGCATAACAATGGAGTGTATCTGCCTTGTTTCATCAGAGACTCATGGATAAGAGGAGCTGAGCTAACTATGAAGACTGCAGGTAGAAGCGATGATGTGTAGGGGGCACCTGCAGGCACTGCCTGCTGTGCACTCCACTTTTCCTCTGCTCATTCACTATGGAGAGCACTAAAACTAGAGGTTGCCTGGTTTTAAGCAGGGGAGGTGTGGTAAGTGGATGAGGGGGTGGGGCATGGTTGATGCAAGTAAAAATATGAAGCATTCTTAGGTATTTGGAGTCGTCCCTAATGTGTATCCCACCCCCTGCTCAGGATATCCTTCATGCATTTAGCAATTAGTGCACTAATTAGAGAGCTACAAATCAAAACAGATACCTCTCTCACCCTGGCAATAATAGCTAAGTTCAATAAGACAGAAAATAACAAATACTGGCAAGAATGTGGAGAGACTGGCAACAAAGATACAGAAGAGCTCAACAATACAATCAACCAACTCGACCTCATAGACATATACAGAGCATTTCACCCAACAAAAGCACAATTCACATTCTTTTCCAGTGCACATGGATCCTTCTCCAGAATAGACCATATGTTAGGACACAAAACAAGCCTCAATAAATTCAAAAGTGTTGAAATACTACAAAGCATCTTCTCGGACCACAATGCTATAAAATTGGAAAGTAATAATAGAAAGAGCAAGGAAAAAACATCAAACATATGGAAGCTGAACAACTCACTGCTCAAAAGCTACTGGATAACAGAAATAAAAACTGAAATAAAAAAATTCCTAGAAACAAATGAGAATGAAGATATATAATATCAAAACCTATGGGATACATCAAAAGCAGTACTCAGAGGACAGTTTATAGCAATAAATGCATATGTCAAAAAAGAGGAAAGAAACAAAATCAACACTCTAACTCATCAACTCCAACAACTATAAATAGAACAACAAAAGAATCCTACAGTATCTAGAAGCAAGGAAATAATAAAGATCAAAGCAAAAATAAATGAAACAAACAAACAAAAAAACCACAGAGAAAATTAGCAAAACAAAAAGCTGGTTCTTTGAAAAGATTAATAAAATCAATAAACCATTGGCAGATCTAACAAAAGAAAAGAAAGAAAATCCAAATCTCAAGAATTGTAAATGAAAAGAGTGTCATCACATCAGAACAAGCAGAAATAAAAAAGATATTGACAGAATATGAAAAACTGTACTCCAACAGATTTGAGAACCTAGAAGAGATGGCCAAGTTTCTAAAATCACAAGACCTACCTAACTATCCCATTCAGAGATAGAAAAGTTGAACAGACCTATAACAAAAGAAGAAATTGAGTAGGTCATAAAAAAAACTTCCCACAAGGCGAAGTCCTGGCCCTGATGGCTTCATTGGAGAATTCTACCAATATTCAGAGAAGAGTTGACACCTGTGTTACTCAAGCTATTCCAGAACATAGAAGAAGATGGAATACTCCCATACTCATTTTATGAAGCAAGCATAACACTAATACCAAAACCAGGGAAAGACACCACTAGAAAGGAAAAGTATAGACCAATATCCCTCATGGACATAGATGCAAAAATATTTAACAAAATCCTGGCCAACAGAATCCAACAACATATCAAAAAAACTAATACACCCTGACCAAGTGAGATTCAGGAGCCCTGGTAGCATAGTGCCTAAGGCACTTGACTGCTAACCAGAAGGCTGGCGGTTCAAACCCACCAGCCAC